CCACTCACCTCAGCCTCCCAAAGGCGCGGGATTACAGGTTGAGCCACCGAGCCTGGCTCATGTTTTCTTTTAAGAATTAAAACTGGCTGGGTGCCGTGGCTCAAATCTGTAATCCCAGCACTTTGGGAGGCCGAGGCAAGAGGACTGCCTGAACTCAGGGGTTTGAGAACAGCCTGGGCAACTTGGCGAGACCTCGTCTCTAAAATAAATCAAAAAATTAGCAGGGCATGGTAGCTACTTGGAAGGCTGAGGTGGAAGAATCACCTGAGCCCAGCAGGTCGAAGTTATGGTGGCCATGAGCATGCCATTATACTCCAACCCAGGAGATAGAGGGAGACTCCAACTCAAAAATAAATAAATAAATAAATAGGAACTAAAACATAATTTTAAATGCTCTTTTAGTATCCTTGTCTGCAAATTCCATTTCTGTATTTCTATTACCTGACATTCTTCCTGGTTATAGGTCACATTCTCCTACTTCTTAGCATGTCTCATAATTTTTACCTAGGTATTGGATATTTGAATCTTAACAACTGTTGAGTGCCTGGATTTTGTTATTGCTTTATAAAGATTGTTGGGCTTTCTTTTCACAGGCAATTAAGTTACTTGTACATCAATGTGATCTCTTTGAGGCTGTTTTCTTTTTTGAAGAGACAGTGTGTTGCTCTGTCACCCAGGCTGGAGTGCAGTGGTATGATTATGGCTCCTTGACTTCCTGGGTTAAAGTTATCCTCCCACCTCAGTCTCCTGAGTAGCTTGGAGTACAGGCACCAACCACTATGCCCAGGTAATTTAAGGCTTGTTTTTAATGCTTTACAAGGCTAAGTCTAAAGTATCTGTTATTCCAAGGATAGTTCAATCCTACAACCAAGGTGTGACTCCACAAGGAGTATTCACTGGATACACTGGTGATCATCAAGGACTTTCCACTCTGGCTGGTCATTTCCTCACTCTGAGTCCTGAAAATTGTTCAGTTTTCAAGTCTGGGTTGTTATCTTTCCTGTCTTTGTGGAATCTCAGTCTTTACATGTGTGACCTCTAGTACACATAAGAGACTAATTCTAAGCAGATTTCTGAAACTCTGCTGCTATGTGGCTCCCTACTTTCCGGAATACTCCAAACAACGTTCAGCTCACTCAGGCTTTCTGAACTCCCTTTTCCATCTCCTCAACTCAGCAAGTCTTTTCCACTCTCATTATGTCTGTGGTTCCAAAACTGCTTCTAGTTAGAAAGCAGGGCATATTGTAAAATTTATCTTGTTTGTTATGCTTCTCAAAGAACCGAAAAGCGTGTTGGCTGTTTCCAGATATCTGAAATAGCCCATCTACTTTTGTATTTTTTTATATGTTCTGTGTATTTTCCAGTTTTCTAGTTGTTTTTTGTAGGTGGTTAACTTCATTTCTTCTTCTTTTTTTTAAGCTTAGAAAATATAGTTTATTTAGAAAGTAAATGAAAGAGAGAGAGAGAGGGGATTCACCTCCTCAAGGTAAGGGAGAGAGCCAAAGCTTAAGAAAACATGGTGGCAATAGCTTGAAAACACATAGCCTGGTCAGTGCTTTACAAAAACAATGGCCAGCTGGGTGCAGTGGCTCAACCTGTAATCCTAGCACTTTGGGAAGCCAAGCCGAGAGGATTGCCTGAGCCTGGGGGTTCGAGACCCGCCTGGGCAACTTGGTGAGAACTTGTCTCTACAATAAGTCACAAAATTAGCTGGGTGAGGTGGCATGTGCCTGTAGTTCCAGTTACTTGGAAGACTGAGGAGGAAGGATCGCCTAAACCCAGCAGGTCGAGGCTGTGGTGGCCGTGAACATGCCACTGCACTCCAGACTGGGTGACAGAGTGGGATTCCAACTCCAAAAGCAAACAAACAAACAAAAAATTGCCAACTTCATTTCTTCTTACTATATCATGCCTCAAAGCAGAAATCAAAACTTTTCTCTTTGATTGGAGTATTTAGTGTATTTATATGTAAATATTGATATAGTTGGATTTAGGTGTGCCATTTTGCTATCTGGATTTTATGTTTCATCTGATTTTATTCCTGTTTCTCTTTTCCTGCTTTCTTTTTTGTAAATCAAATATTTTTTAGTATTTTATTTTAATTCTTCTGCTAACTTTTTAGCTACATTTCTTTGCAC